GCAGAATAATAATTTTTATTTATAAAAACTTGTATTTAAACTGAATGTTTTTCTAATTTGCGAAACCAAATAGCTACCATTTTGCGGTAGGAGGAGCGCATCGCGTGAGCGGTTAGTACGACTAATAACAACTTACCATAACTTAACACCGCATCATGTGCCATATTATAGTACCGGCACGTTATGATGGCCGTTTTGTCCGCTCGTCAAGTTTCGTATTAATTCATAACTACGTTGAAGGAGCTAATTGCTGTGCATTATAGTCAATATATGTAGTGACTGCAGTAAAATTTATGGAACGTATAATTATACGACACAAGTCGGCATTTATTTTTCGAAATCCGCCATTTTTTTAAATATAATGTAATACGATCGTTAGTTACAGGATCGCAGTATAGCGCAATTTCTGCACCAACAAACACGCGTCAAAGTTCATTGCAAAACAAAGTAGTTTCGAATTTATGATATATTAAGTAAACATTTTTATTTTCGTTTTATTAAAACATTTTAATCAGTACCCTTGCAATACTTGTTATGAATCTAAAAACTTACAGATGTGACTCGTATTTGATTATATTTTTTTCGATAATGCACTCCATTGAACTACACAGGTGGATAAGTGTTAATACGATATACGTGTGACGCGACGTCCCGCCATCCGCCGGGTGGTCGGCGCTACAACGAGCGGGGGCGGGCGGGGGTGCGACGAAACCCATTGGAAAGCGTGCGCAGAGGCCGGTAAAGGTAGCACGTTCGATCTTGCGCAGAATATTACAAAATGTTACAGCCAGTGTTTTCCTTACAAAAAAATATTTAAAAATAAGTAGTGTTTTTATAATTATCAATACAAAGATCGAACACTCAGAAAAAATTCCTTCGATCCGGCAGCATTCGAACCGACGTCTTCTAGCATAACGTGGCAGACGCTATACCAACTAAGCCACGGAACGAAATTTGGTTGTCCTTCAACGACTTTTCACTTCATTTTTCATATTGAATAGACATTCAATTATTTTTTATGTGAAATTACTCCACTAGTTTGTTATAATTATTAATAAAAAGATCGAACACTCAGAAAAAAATATAACATACTAGTGGAGTAGTTTCACATAAAAAAATACAAATTCCAAGGTTCATAGGTAGTGTTGTTTATATATTCGGTATGGCTATCAGCTTCTCACTCTTTAAATATTTATCTCGTTCAACCTGTCACCGTGTATATGTCGGAGTATAACCGCAAAGGGTAGACGTTGAGGGTAACACCCTCGTTGCCGATTTGGTCAGGAATTATTTGATAATTGACCGATTTACACTCCAGTATCAATTCGTTTTGCCGGTGGTGAAATAATAATGTTAGTTGATTGCAATTAGTTCGTTAATCCACTTTTCACGGTAATTAGTTCCAAAGTACTAAAAATGAATCGGTTTAAAACAGATTTTAAATGTCACGCGGCAAATTCACAGAGAGTGGCCGCCATTGCTAATATTTCACACACCAAAGCTTATCTTGTCAATGCGCGTTCATTTATAAAGCAATGAGCATCAACTTCATTCCTTATTTCCTTATGGCAACCCTGCCAACGACCATCATATCATAGGGCCACGCCAGACGACTAATTAACAGAACAGATTTAAACTACACCAGCGCCATCCCCATAAACTGATGCAACATTTGTAAAGAATGAAAGCATGATCGAATTAGTTAAAGCGATTCGTAGGTAGCTTAGTAAATTGTTTCTCTAATAAACCAGAAAAAAACACCTAATAATATTAGCTAAGATTTATCAATTTGCAAAGCACATCATGTTTCACGTTTGACCACAACTGGCTCTGACATAATATTATTATGTATCATAATTTTATTGTTATATTAATGTTCATGCTGTGTTCAAACATTTTACAAAGAATATTTACATGAAAATAAAGAAACTTGTATAAAACAATTATTTTACAGATATATAACGGTATAAACTAACAAGCCTATAGCACTTTAGTGGATCGTGTGCTGTTGATTTGAAATTCATTGGAGGATTTATCATTGTATACTTACAATATTTTCTGATCCACACGACGTGGAGGTCATCGCACAGGGCTCAATGCCACCTGTAAAATTATCAACAATATACCTACACAAATCAAAGGTGTTTACAGATCAAGTACTTATTTGTCAAATATTGAAAATCAGGTTTTTAAATTAATTTTTTTAACACTAATGATTTTTCTATCAACTCCATAATTTAAAAATTAAAGAAATAATCTAATTTGCCGGCGCATTCGCAAAATAGAATTAGTGGCGACTCGATGGTCGTCATTAAAATTATTCTATCGCTACCTGGCTCCAATAGCAGAACGAACGACAAGCACTGAGGAGCCGGCCATAGTCGTTCGATGCACTGCAGTTGCTTCAATGTTCTTTTGGAAGCCAGTATGATGAAATTATAATAATGTGTTACTTTGTAAAAAGGCGGAAGATGAAGCAAACGAGGAAAAGAAAGTTTTGGGCATGAGCATAATCCTGTTCAGCGCCGAGCGTCATGACACGATGTCGTTTCGTGAATTTTTACTTAGCTCGTCGTAGATGTCCACGATACGACATCACATCGTGAAGCGATGCCTCGTCGTAGATCGAGGCGACGTCGTATCGTGTTTATGTGTAAGAGCCCATAGATGCACGCGGTCTCCGCGCGACGAACGGGCGACGTGGGCGCGATGAAATTCGTGTCGAATAAACGCGCCCTTATGGTTTGACTCACCGCCTCTCAAACAGAGGCCTTAGGTTCGAATCGGGTTCACACATCTGAGTTTCTTCTTTATGTGTGAAATTTAATTTGAAATTTACCATGAACTGGGTGAAGGAAAACATCGCAATGAAACTTGCACATCGAGGAGGGTTCACTACCCTCGAAAAACGTGCAAAGTCCCCCTGGCATTGGGCCAGCGTAGCGGCTATGGCCTAAACCCTCGCCTGAGGTTGAGGACGACGAGTAAATGATAGTGGAAGACAAGAACGATAAGTAAATCGAGCTGACTACCTTTTAATCAGAAATAACAATGTTGCATTGCGATGGAAATAGTTAAAATAAAAACCAAAAACCATTTGGTGACTCGGGTACGTCGCGAAAATAGTATCTAGCCGCAGTGGAAACCTAACACGTAGTTTATATGGCGAACGGCCATGAAGTGAAATTTCTGATCCGCAGATTTATTCCCTGAAAGCTAAAACTTCACTTAAATGCGCACTTAGTTTTTAAATTAAAAAAAAGACCATTTAACCTACCTAACCTTAAAAAGTATTTAAATCCGAATTGTCCCGAATTTGCTTTTAGTTTTAGCAAAATATATAGACTATAAGGGTTTAGTTAATTAACAAAACGCATCGAGCATATAACCAGAAATAGAGACGAAATGTCATTTAATTTGTTTAAAAACTATTCAGCTATATAATTACAGTGACAACTGCGTTCCGATTGGCCAGAACGAATTCAAAACAATTGACGGGTGTCGTCAATTGTTTCACTTCAAAACGACCAGTTTGACTTGAGCTTTGCTATAATGGACGATAATTGAAAAATGACATATTTAATATGTAATTACCCATGAAATGTGATTTCGTTTGTTTTGTAATTAGATGTTTTGCTTTTTTTCCCACTCCACCGAATGGAACAGCCCCCCATAGTTAGAGATATTATCTTTATTACAATAAACACAGAATATTTTTGGAATATACAGAGGCGTGTATATGTATACACAGGTCAGCTGTGGGCGCTGTACTATTTCAGGTTCCTAATGTGTTATTTCAGTGCAAACGAGAGTACATATTTAAAAGTGACATAAGGCCTGACGAGTTGCCAAGGATGGTTGGCCCTTCTTACGTTTCTATGTATTTCTGGTTATATACTCGATGACTAAATGTAAACAAATAGTAATGAAGTATTTTATGAGGCATTACCTGATCACTTATTCTTTTTGAAAACGGTTCTAAATATATGATAATATTTTCAGGTAATAAACAAAATTTCTGACCTCACCGTCACTTTCCATCACGTGAGATGAAGATCAAATGCACACTTAGTTACACTAAAAATTAATAATATTGTTTTACTAACACTGAACTTTCCGGTCCATGGAAACCAAGCTCTAGACAAAAAAGAAAAAATATTTTTAGTGACAATTGTAAAAAAGTGTCAGGTTTAAGATCTGTCCGAAGATTTCACGACCTCAGCAGTCCACCAGCACTATAAACGTTAGATGAAGTGGTTAAATTTTCAGTAGGTCCAATCTGAACCAAAACTTGTTCCGGTCTCGGTGTTGTAAATAGTGCTCAGAGGTGAATTTCATTGCTAGACATAGGTGTTGTCTTGTGCTGCACGCATCCAGCGTAACACTGCCGTCCGCTAACGAAAATGCGGTTAAGTGACAAAATTTTTTTTTTGAGATAGAAGACGAGGGAAGGGATGCGCACCGAGCGCCTAATGAGGTGCGGAGTACCCCAGGGGTCCGTGTTAGGACCATTACTATGGAACCTGGAGTACGATTGGGTGCTGAGGGACGCGCTGCTCCCCCGGACGGCGGTCAGCGCGTACGCCGATGACCACCTTCCAGGAGGCGGCCCAAAGAGCCTCAGTAGCGGCGGACATGGTGGTTCGCCGAATACAACTGCTGGGGCTCGAGGTCGCCGTGCCGAAGACAGATGTAGCCGTCTTCGGCGGGAGAGGCAGAGATTGGGCGGTGCCAGCAGGCGCCCACATCTCCATCGCGGGAGTATCGGTCCCCGTCAGATCCCAGATGAAATATCTGGGCCTTCCGGCAACTTGCTCCCCGAATAGTGGGCACCACATCGGCGTTGAGTCGACTCCTGCCCAACCTCGGGAGACCGGGAGCCCCAGGGGTGATCCGTCCTATCCTCGTAGAGTGGGTGAGCCGGACTTACGGCCCACTGTTGTACCACCTTGTGCAGGTGCTTACAGGGCACGGCTGCTTCGGTCACTACCTGTCGTGGCACGAGTGCGGCGCTGCGGATGACACCGCGCAACACACCCTAGAGGTGTGCAGCCGGTGGGATGAGCAGCGCCGAACCCTGACGGAGACAATAGGGCAGGACCTCTCGCTGCCGGGCGTGGTTGCCGCCATGCTCGGTAGCGAGGAGTCCTGGGAGGCGGTGGCCTCCTTTTGCGGAGAGGTTATGTCAGGGTGCGCGAGGACGCGGCGGACGCGCACCCGCTTCGGCACAGACGTACGGGGAGGGTCCCCTAGTGAGGCCTGTGAGCTCTGGACAGGGACTCCGGAGCCTGCATTGCACGGACTCACTCGTCTGTGGGTTGTATCGGAGGACAACCGACCCGCCCTTCCATTGGCGCGGGAGCCCTGGCGCAAGCTAGGGCGGCGTCGTGGTGAATATTCACCTATCCCACGGCGCCGACTCAACCGGTAAATAAGTTGAACACGTTAACTAATTTTAACTGTTTTCAAAAGAGAATATTGTGCTCTATCTTATTCTAATTAAAGCGGATATTTCACCATTTGTCACTAAGCCGCATTTTAGTTTGCGGACGGCAGAACAGCTTGTCAGTCCACCTTGTGTTGGGTGATCTGCTCACGCTTCGTCTTTCGGCACGTGGACGTTGTTCGAGAACTAATTTACACATAACACATGGAGTTTCCTCGTTTAAGGCTGACTTTCGACCAGACATGTGAGACGTAGTGAGGCGGTGTGCGAGGAAATTTCTACCAATAGGACTATTTTATCCTCCTAGCCTCGCTTAGCGCGCTCCGATGGAAAAGGGTTAGCGGAGCTAAGTATTCCTACATACAGAATAGCGAGGAATGTGTGTAAAACGGTGTGGGAAACTAGAGCTACTGAAAAGTATAACACTAATTGACACACACAAAAAAAGGCAATTTGTATGCTTTTATAAGTAATTAATGTAACTATTACATAGGCTTGCCTTAAAATCATCTACTCGATGGTATAACCAGAAATAGAGACGAAATGTCATTTAATTTGTTTAAAAACGAGTTCGAAACAATTGACGGGTGTCGTCAACTGTTTCACTTAAAATCGCCCAGTTATCTTGAGCTTTGCTATAATGGACGAAATTTGCAAAATTACATATTTAATATTTAATTACCGATGAAATGTGATTCCGTTTGTTTTGTAATTTGATGTTTTGCTGTTTTTCCCACACCACCGAATAGAACAGCACGGTATTGTTAGAGATATTATCTTTATTACAATATATACAGAATATTATTTGGAATATACGGAGACGTACACACAAGTCAGTAGTTGGCCTGTCTATATTTCAGTGCAAACTAGAGTTGATATTTGTAAGAGCTGTATCGCTAATGTGTTACCAGGAATATATGGCCCTTATTTCGTTTCTATTTCTGGTTATATACTCGATGATTAATACAAATTATTATAATTGACCGGTTCTCTTCAGCGATTGAGCGAGTGTTTTCTAGAAACGTTACATGGATTAACCTTAATTTGGATACTGCACTTTTGACTAATGACAATTTCACTAATGAATCACTGGTCTTTCACAATCACTGTGGTATGCGACGTCATTGTAAAGGGTTAGCACAGGTAATGTGTGTTCGCCAGTCGCGAGGAGGACGACAGGGCGTTGTGGCCCGCTTCGTCGTGAGGAGGGGAGGGGGAGGACGTAGTTCCTACTAGGTGCCGGGGGGTTCCGATGCACAAAGTCGATCCCGGATCCTTCCCACTAAAGCATCCAAGAAGGTCACCGTGGGGTTTTAGCCGGCATAACCGGTATCCCACGAAAAAAAGGTAACTCGTGTAATACGACTGCGTCGATGCACATGCGTGTTTATATCGGTTACAGTCGATGAATCAGCTTTTTCAATAACACTTACCCATTTATCCAAGTTAACGTTTCCTCTCGAACAACTTTTTCTGTGATTCAAGTATCGCTTTTGCAATTGAGAGCATAACTGAAATATTAAACAGTGGCATATTTAACCGTTCCCACCTTTGGTGTAATAAGGTTACAACTGCAAAATTACAACTTTTCAGAAGACTGGTTAAAAGATTTTAGGAACGAAATTAACCGATAACATTTTATAATTAAATAGGAGAACAATTTGTTTCACGTAGCTCATAAGTAGCAGTAGAGCTCCTTGTGAAGAGTTCGTCCAGGGAAGTACTGCCATCTTACCTATTTCTGCAGCCGAGCAGTTATGTGAACATTACTGCGTTCCGGTTTGGAAGGATAAGGGTGCTGTTGAAATTACAGGCACATGGGACTTGTCAACTTATGTCTCAGGGTGACGGGCGCAGTGGCAGTGTCCCTAAGATCTTTGCTATTCAAAGCTTTGAGTGGAACAGTAAACTGTTCGTACAACAAGTAAACCAAAGTTTCGGGTCCTTTACAGGTCCCAAGGGGTCACCGCTGACCGAATTTATTTTTCTAAAATAATGATGACATAAACAACCATTGACATAAATGACAACCCGAGAGACGTGAAGGTGTTGATGTGTCGTATATAGAGTCAGGTATTACCGCCTGGCTGATAATTTCGCGCCTATGTATGGTGAAATAACAGGCACATGGGACTTGTCAACTTATGTCTCAGGGTGACGGGCACAGTGGCAGAGCCCCTCAGATCTTTGCGATTTAAAGCTCGTGGGTGGCACCGCAACTGTTATGGATATGCGTGTAGCTACCATCGGACACACGACTTGTTCCAACAGGTACGGTTTTTTACCTAATTTTGGTGACAATTTTCAATTTTGTGGGTTGTTATTATATTAAAAAGTAATTCCAAAAAGAATATTTCACCGGCCCTTCAAAATGTCCAGTAGTTTTAAAGATATATGGAAATGAAATTTTGTTTGATCACCAAAATTGAACATCGTCACCAAAATTAGTACATTGGAGAAAAAAACACAAATTAAATCATAAAAAAAATTTAATAGCCATATAGATCAGGATCTTAGATGTTGAGTCTCATACGGCTAATTGCTTGGACTTTCTGCTTACAACTGATCCAGAGCGATACTCTGTGATAAGGATGCCCCACTGGGTACTTCCGAAGTGCCCCAGCATTCAAAGACTATGCATACTATAAATTTTACTACTTATTCAATATAATATTACGAGTGTTTTTGGTACGAGGTAAGACACATTCCATTTTAATTTTAAGTAATTGTTTTAACATATTTGAAAGGTCATAATATTATAGAATTGATCTTCAAAATTTCGGAAACATTGTTTGCTTTTTTATATTATTTTATGGTTTGAAAGAAAAGTAACTGTGTTTGACAAGTTCGCGCTACAAAAACGTCGAAATAGGTAATAAAGATAAGCAAAAATTTCAAAGAGAAAAAGAAAGCTACCAAATATTGAAATAATGTATCGACAATAGTGAAGCATTCTAAGACTGAAGACGTAAACATCTTCCCTTTCATTCAAAGAGCTACCTAGTCTGTCAGTACTTTAGAAAATGAGTACAAGGAAGGCAAATGGTATACACCTATATGTTTAATTTAATTAAACAAAATTTTAAAATTTTAATCCCTCTTATGATATGGGGTCCTTCAAACGAGGCGTGAAGAGGCATATTGTAGGCAGGCAGGGTGAAGGTGGCTAGTGCAGTGAGGATTTCATCGCTGCACTAGGTTCCTTCGCGTTTGGATACCACTTTCCACCTAACATCAGGTGGAGTGGAGTCATTTGCCTGTCATGTATAAAAAAAAAAAAAAATTCATTTATTGTTAACATTTTTACTTGACTCCGATTTTTCGTGATATATCCATACCGATAGCCGACTGTCTCCAGCTACTTGGAATGGACCTGTCGTCCAATCTGAACTTCGGCAGATACATAGAATCCATGGCCAAAGATGCAGCCAGGAAGTTTGGCATCCTTTCCAAGGCGAGGCGTTACTTCACACCAGGACAGTTACTTCAGCTGTAGCAGGCACAAGTTTGGTCGTGTATGGAGTACTGCTGTCGCTTATGGGATGGCTCTGCTAAATACCAACTGGCCACCTTGGGTTCAATCGACAAGCGTGCTATTATTATATTATAGGTGACTCGGAATTAGTAGAGGCGAAACTGCAGAACCAAGAACACCGCCGTAAAGACGCCTACTTATTGGTATTCTACAGGATAGGTATATCACGGAGAGTGTGCGATGGAATTGCATAATTTGATTCCGCCTTCCCCTTTCCATTTTCGGGGGACTAGACGTGGGCTGTGATTCCACCCCTATGTTATGGATATGCCCTGGATTCGCACGAAACTTACATGACGAGCGGCTAAAGAGTGTAGTTCCCTACCTGCGGACTTATTCCCCAAACGCTATAACTTGGATATTTCAAGGCGAGAGTGAATAGGCATTATTTAGGTGTGCATGCTACCGTCGTCGTCGTCGACCTCATCATCGCTTTTCATCAGGTGAGATGGAGGTCAAATGTGCACTTATTCTTTATATAACAAAAAGTATTCGATTATTTAATACACACGAGTATATGGCAACTTAAAAATTTGTTTTTGTATTTAAATTATATAAATTTATTGGGGCACGGTTTTATTAAACCTGAGCACGATATTATCAGACCAGTTTGATAATACCGCGGTTTCCCATTTTTTGATAATTTTGCAACAACTGCCTTTTGTATTTGTTTATGAAGATGATGCTACTAGAAATAGAAATAGAAATTATCTACTTACGACCATAAATTTTATTTTTATAAACCAAGCCTGAGCTTAATTGTGATTTGAGAATACTTTCTACTCTTTATCATTAATCATAAATGTGCAACTGGATACTTGAAATGTAAATTTCAGTATTTGGATGCATCCCATGATCGCAATCTTCGCTGGTCTTCTTTCTAATTCATTTCCTCTTCAGGCAATACGACTCTGGATCGCCCTGCCGTCCCATATTCAAAAAGCGCCGAACAAGCAAGCTTTCAAGCAATTAGTCCGCGATTTCACGTTGGAGTCTCAATCTACATCTCATTAGTCTCACATTGTTATATATAAATATGTATATTAATATTATGTGTTATATTTATGTTGTATAAACTATATATCATAATTATTTATAAGCTTGTACCTATCGATTTTAATTATCATGTTACGCACATCTGTCAATTATTTTGAACTCAGCTCTCCGGTTGACTGGCAAAGAATGCCTAATGGTATAAGTTCACCATAGGTAATGTTTCGTGTGCAATTAAGTTTAAATAAATAACGAGTTCTTAGGTTTTCGCGATTGTTACACGTCATAGGAAACGAAACTATTTTTCCGGATTTAAATCGCGTATATTTGTTTTTTCAAACAAACTAAATTAAAAATAAAGTATTTAATTAATAACTTTTGTAACTATAGCATTGACTTACAATTATACGGACGTCGGGTCCGCGCTAAAAAGTGTCCGAACTTATAGGGCGTTAAAATCGTATACAGAGCGTCATTCACGCTTTAGTCTTCGTTTGTTCGACTGACAGCGAAGCAAGCAAAATTAGACAGTACTGAAATGGCATTACAATTTAAATTCAACGTTTTAGCTTTTTCATATTCCTTTACATGTCACTACGTTTAAATAGGTTGACATGGGACATTTTTTCGTGGTTTTTGTATTAGACCCGTCGTCCATTTATTTGTAAGTCAATGAACTATAGTGAAAAAATAGGGTGGTTTGCATTAATATTAGACCGTGACCATGGGACCTGTAAAGGGCCCGAAACGTTGGTTTGTTTGAAAAAAAAAAACAAATATACGCGATTTAAATCCGGAAAAATAGTTTCATTTCCTATTTAAATTAATTAATTAATTAATTGTAGGCATTATTGCTTAACGGTTCCGTAGTACCCAACTCTTCCCTAAGTTAGTGTTACTTACCGGTGGAGTTACCGGTTGCTCACAAATCTGCCTTAACGTATCCGTAACGTATTTGGATACTTCGTTCAAGTACCTTATTTCGGTAGACCTGTTACCAAATCTGGCACCGTTTAGATAGTCGTAGCTTGTGCTTGGCTGGTTGTCTCCCACGCTGTAAATGTAGAAGTTAGGTTACATTACCTGCAGCATAATCTAAATTTTTTTTTAATTAATTGGAGTTAGTGTTGTAAAACACTCCAGTCCGGGAGTACATTTTAGGAGTAGACTCCAATTCACGAGACTCTACTCATAATGACGAATACTCCACTGCTTGATGTACGAGTCTATCGAGTTTCCAAATACGACGAGACCTCGAGACTGGTATGTACAGTCAACAGCACATCAAGCTACACATTGACGTATCAGGAGGTCTACTCTCGACCTCCGTCCGACATCCGTCCGAAACAATTACTGTCAAATAAGTAATATTCGACAAAATTAAAAGACAAGTATCAAGTATGAAGCTTCATTCGCATCACGCGTCTTTTCATTTGGTCAAGTATTGCTCATTTGGCAGTAATTGTTTCGGACGGATGTCGGACGAAGATAGAGAGTAGATCCCCATGTTCCGTTGCACTGGAGGCCATTTTGCGAACAAAAATATGTAGTCTGACGTGCTGTTGTCTGTACCTACTGAGCGGTGGTGGTGTGGTATGTTAAATTGTTTTTTTTTATTATGTCAAGTGACGGGATGAACAGGTCGTGCGCCTGATGATAAGCCTGTCACTGCCATTGCGCCCATCACCCTGAGACATAAGTTGACAGGTCCCATGTGGCTGTAGTTTCGACAGAAATAGGTAAGGTGGCAGTACTTCACTGGACGAACTCGAAGTTTCAATTAAATTGTACTATAATTAAGTATCTTCTTTTTTTAGATCACCATGTTGCGTTTTTATTTTTTATTTAATTCGTGGGCAATTGTAGAGTTGTTTAGTAAAATTTAACCCTGCGTGTCGTAATCGAGACTTTGTAGAGTAGAAGTAGTTTCGAGTAGAGTTTTGTTCAAAACTCAGTTTAAAAAAAAGTAAAAACGTAAAAAGTTTTCTTTTAAGACTCGAGAGTGCTTTACGCCACACCGAACACAGCAAAATTGAGTCGAGAAAAAAAATTACAATTATGTAATTTTCAAGTTAAACTGGTCGATTTGAAGTGAAACAATTGACGACATCCGTCAATGGTTTCGGATTCGGGCTGGCCAATCGGAGCGCAGTTGTCACCGTTTAGATGTGCAAGAATAGTTTTCAAACAAAATACATGACATTTCGTCTCTATTTCTGGTTATGTATTCGATGCCAAAAAAGAATTTAACTTACCTCTGTTGTTCACGTACTTTTCCTTTCGAGTCACACGAATATGGATTTTGTTGCGTAAAGTAAGGACTATCTTCCATTGGCGGTTGACGCGTTTTGTTTGCAAATTTTGACCTTTGTGAAGGTGATTTCGACCTCACAGGTGATGTAAACCATGAAGGTGGTCCAGACCGTCTGGATGTTGCGCACCGTCCAGAAGCTACTGGCCGTCTGGAAGTTACACGCG